AGATACGCCACTACGTGCGGAGAACGGGTATATGCTAGTAACATACTAACTTTCAAAAGTCATAATATCGTGTATGTAACAACCCAGTATTCCTCAAAAGCATACATTCTAGAATAAATTTATCAACGATCGCTACCTCTTTCTAAAAGCAATTAAGATTGGGATGGTGCAAGAGTGTTATTGGACGTAAGGTAGTCATGAAGGTAAGGTAGTCAGTGCCACTTCAATAATTTTAGACAGGATATGCAGCACTGATATAGGGCGATAGTTGTATAAGAACGCATTTAGGGTCACCTTAGCAATTTTAAGTTCTTACCGGATGAAAGTGAAATATTACAAATGTGTCAGATAGGGTGCAATAACAGGGGCAGCCAGGTGCGGGTTTCCCTTATGCAATTTGAAAAAAAAAAAAAGAAAAAAGAAAGAAACAATTGATCGCCCAAAACGCCTCAGGGGTTATTTTTGGGCGTCTAGAAAACAAAAAAAATCGGACCCCCTGGGGTGTGTTGTCTCGATCGGCCCCACTTTCGACCCCGTTTTTGGACACATCTGGATCCGTCCCTGGCAGCCAATTTCAAAAGCCCCATTGGATGACAGTGCAAGCTCAGCGAGCGTACCAGGGTTCAAACCCTGAAGCTGCTCGAGGTTGTATTTGTACAATTTTTCGTTGTTACGGTACTTCCATTTTTATATTTTCATATTCTGTGGATTAATGCCTTTTCTATTAAAACTTTTTAAAAGGTCATATATTTTCAAGACACGGTAAATTAAATATCATGAGCGGAAATGGAATCATAATATTAATGTTATATATCCTCCCATAATCTTATAGTAATTCGAGCGGAAGAGGCACACACACTAACAACATCAGCAAAATCTACAAACTTTCACTGGAATATAATTAATCATTGGCTTACCCTTGACATTTATCGAAATGCACGCCATCGTGTCGGGATTCATTATTTCGTAATTAATTTTTCATCATTAGATACGTGTATTTCGATACTTGAGTATGTATTATATCTTATCTGAGATTAATCGGTGGACCTTTCGGTCTTTACATTTATTATTTAAACAATTATTATCTGACGCATATTTATATATCCACACAGATCCAAGTTAACAATCGGTTGTTTGATGCGGATTAATAATTCAGTAGAGTATAATAATAATAAAGTTTAATTTATGAGATAGCAACCTGATGTAATGGCATATTATATCTACCGCCCTCATTAGTGTTATTTCAACGTTATTGTGTTGTGAAGCCTGCCTCGGCTGAAGCGGTTGTACTGTACAGTATTTAGCAATTACCAAAATCGCAAAACAGGAACTTTTCAGGGAAACTATCTGCACACTAACTAGGTTAATAGTTGTCGCGTGCATTATGGTGAAGAAAATGTGGTATAATATTGAGATCAGCATACTGCCGATTGCTCCCATCAGCTAGAGCTCTGGATGCACAATTACAATCAATATTATTGTATTTAAAAGGTGTCTGATTCTGATACTATGGTGTCTTGCACGACTCCTTACTGTACCGCAAATCCAGATTGTAAAGAATAAATCCAATTCTGTATTTAAAAGCTTTATACATAGTATTTAAGTGAAATCAATCGAAAATTAGAATAATGTATTGTTTTTTTCCCTCACCAATTAAGGATGTACATATTGGTTGGCAGTCAATTAAAGACTTTCGTAGTAAAACATTTCTGCAAATGCAAGAAAAAGTGAAATGTTTTGTACCGTTTCTATTGATCCTTTTATGGGCAATTAATATTGGAATGTTTAAGGCGTTTTCCAGATTTTATTTTAATTGATACAATCAGTGGCGGATTCGAAGTCGGGGAAGGGGTCTCCTCCACCCCTAATTTTTTCAAAATTATAAATAAAAAAATGGAAGAAAAAAAGAAAATATTAATCAAATTTAGGTCTGATTTTCTTACTTCAGCCCCAGCCATGGTGGGGATAAGGTGGTCTAGACTTTCCAGGTGCAGCCCCACCCTCTACTTCAAATTCCTGGATCGCCCACTAACAATGGACTGTTTTAAAGAAGTGAAGTACACAATAGATAACTTAAAGCATCTTATTTATTTCACAAATGGCCAATGACAAGAGCTAATCATAAAACAAATACTACATCTAAACGTTATGTATGAAGCAAGAGACGAAACATTTGACATCAAATAACATGCAGAATCCTTTTAGGAACAATTTTTTTCAGTCATCACAAAAATATAGACACAAGAACCTGTTTGCAATTAAATTACATTAATTTAATACATTTCTACCTTATACTGTTTTATTTCTTATCAAAAGTTATTTTCTGTCTGTTTGTGTACATTCATATTAAAATCATTGTTATATTACCATTTCATAAAAAAATATGGGAAACATATTTTATTCCTTTCCAACTTTTAGAATAAAAAAAAAAAACAGAGAGCCAGCTTAACACAAGCCATCACCTAACAAAATAATCTTGCTTGTAAACTTAAATGTTGCTATCAACATTGTTTGGTCACATTTTTCATGCCAATAGTTTTAATTCAAACGAGTTTCCCTTCAGTCATTAGAGCATTCGTACAGAAAAGTATGAATGTAAATAAACATATATTGTTAAAAAAAAAAAGTAGTCCAAAGTAGGGGCCATCAAAAAGCATGTTTCTAATGTTAAGAAAATCCTATTAACAGAAATAATATTCTTATGGTCTCAAATAAGCTTGTTTAAAAACAAAATGAGATTTTCTTCACTTAGGAAATATCTATCACATTATAGTATTGTATGTAAAACTAAAAAGGACCCACAGTACTACAAGAAATATCCCCACAACTTGCATTGAAAATCTATTTGTTGACCTACATGTAACACACACATTCCTTCTGAACCATCCTTAACTATCATAATCATTATTTTTCCACTGGTATTCTGATGATTTTGGAAGTGAGAGGTTTTAAGATTTGAGTAAGTACACAGTATTATAGGCCATCAGGATGTTTCATATCCATTTGCCCATAATATATCTTCTTGATACAGTGCCCAAAAACTGTCAATATCTTTCTTAAATCATCAAAGATCTTGTTTTACCATCAATCATTAGATTTTAAGGTAGTTTTGCATAGAACCCTTAAAACGACAATACTACTATCCCTTGGGGTTTCAAGTACACTGTCACTTTTACAAAGCAGCATAAAACTGAAATTTGGGTATCAATTTATAAAATTAAGTATCAAATTTTGGCATTTCTACATTTCTTGTGTACTATTCTATTCTAGATTGTTTTGTGTACTAAAGTGTAAGCTACTAAGTTAGATGTGAAGAATAGTAGACAAAGGACTGTAATAATAATTAGAATCTGGTAAGCAAATTGAATTTTACTTTATGGAATGGATTAACATGTTAATTAACAAGCTGGTATCAAAAACAGGAATAACTCATGGAATGCAAAATTAAAGGGATGAAGGCTCAAACAAACTCTAATGTTATGAAGGATGTGAAAGGATGAGACTTGTAACCATTGACCAGTGGTCAAAAATACTTGTGATTTGCCCACATTTGACATCAACATGCCCATATACAGTATGAGCATATCAATCATTTGTCATATAAAACAGAACTTTAAATACCCAAATTTCATCACATTTTATTTTAATTTAAGCAATCTATACATCATGGATGCTGTAGTTCCTTCCTTTTATACGAAAGAGGTATACTCCCACTCCCTAATGGAAGAGAAATTCTATACATACTTGACAAATTTCATGTTCAAGGGTTTATATTATACTGGAAGAGGAACTACAGTATCTATCTGTCAATTTATTTTTATATCAAAATATTCATTACAAACTTTGCATTGCATTTTAAGGTTGAGGTTTGCACAGGGAATTATTATTAACACACAATTTAAGGTCATATATCTCTTATTTACAATGGGACCTAAGAATTTACATTATATGAATTTAAGAATTGTACCAAATAATATTAGAAGGAAGAGGATTAAAAATATATAATAAAATTTTGGGGTTACCTGAATGTCAAGTTTACACTGTTAATTTTACAAATGCTGGGTTGGTACAACTTCTGCAATAATGTCAGAAAATTAGATTTTAACAAGAGTATGCCATATTTTGGTGGTATTAAAAACCTGCAAGATTTGTTATTTTTTAGGGAAGGAATTATCTAATATCAATGTTACTAGGACTTTGTATTATAACAATTCACTTGAGCTGAAATTATCTGTGGCACAAAGGAGAAAAAAACAAATTGCACATTTTAAACTGGTTGGATGGAGGCTGAATAACAAGAGCCAGTCTTGTCAACAGTTTCTGTCACAACTGCAGGTAGTCAAGGTGGTTGGTCATCAGTCTCTTTCTTCATGCTGATGTTGGTAGGTAGATGTGCAGGGCAGGATTAACACTTCCTCGACACATATGGCATTCGTCCAACCTTCTGGCACAGTCTTGGCAACTAACGTGTCCACATGGGAAAACCGTGTCTATGCACATGGCCATACAAATGCGGCATTTCAATGCCTCTTCTTCCTTCACTTTACAACATTCGTCCAATGACTTGTCAAGACATTCAACCAGTCCATCTTCGGAAATATTAGCGAAAGGATTTTTATTTCTTACTGCAAACAACTGTCTCCTTGAGTCATCATACACTTCCTTTGCTGTCCTCCGAACATCGAACATGTATCGCTTTCCAACTCTTGTTTTCTCTTTGAAAAGAGATGCCAACGTGCCTTTGAAATCTCTTGTAAACTGTGCATGCACCTCTTCTGATACTGTGTCATTGGTAAAGAATGTCAATGACTCAATTATTGCCCTGTAAAGTCCTTCTGCCTGTTCTCGGCTTGGAAACTTAAAACGCATTGATTCAATATCATAGTGCTCGTCAGTTCTAAATGAAATGTCACAGTATTTACCATCAGTCCCACTAGCATCCAATGCTGAGTACAAAATGCTGCAAAGATACAAATAATACAGTATAAGATCCATTAGTGGGTATTCATTTCTCTACATGTACAGTAAATAATAAATATTAATTAAAAACAAATTATTGTATAATAAATAGGAAATGTGATAAAACAAAACAAGACAATATTAAAGCTCAGCCCAGAATACCAAATTTTCTTTAAAAAAAAAAAACAAAACAAAACTGTTGTATGCCCATGTATAGTCGAAATTTGATATTCTGATTAACAGGGTTTAAAATACCATAAAGAATAATATTTGAAAGCAAAATACAAATTTGACGTTTTTTGTTGTTTTTGCATTAAGGTTTCCATAATAATATTTAAAAGCACAAAAAGTGAATAGAAAGAGCACTGTACACATTTACAATTCAAATGCTCCGGGAAAAAAATACAAAGCCTACACAGAGTGCAGTGTCTTTGTCCTTGAATTGTGAAAACATAATGCTGTAGCACAGTACTGTAGTTTTAATATATATCAACAGGCTTATTAACAGGTTGGCTCCTTATGCATCCAGGGTAGTGCACTTACAATCATTAGTATTTGCTTTACTAGCAGAGGAGTTATAATTCAAAGATTTTAAGTTTTTGACCATTGCAGTAATGACTGATCAAATGGGCGACTGAGGCATCCTTTCAATTATACATTTTTCCATTTACACAATTTAAATTGTATCTTATCATTGTAGGCCACTATAATAAAAATATTATCCTTTTAATTCGTTCCATCATTCTTTGTTAATGCTAGGCTCATTTTTTTCCTACAATTTTATAAGCCTACAAGCCAAAACACCCAGAAAATCATGCAATTAATTAATCTTCGTGACTAGGTATGGACAGGTCCAGATAATAAATTCCACAATGTTCTAATTGTTATTGACTATAGTTGCACCCCTTTTATTATAATGGAAGATTCCAGTTCTATCAATGCAGTTTAGCTAGCAACAACGCTAAATATAGTTGAATTGCGTAATCACAGCAGTCACATGTTTCGCCAACCAAATAATGTAATAGCTTTTCCATCACTAATTCATCAACTACTAGATTTCTTTAGAAAAACCTACAACATCTGTTAGGTTTTGCAATGCACTTTTTATAGCCCAAGACAGGAGCATAAAGTTGCCGTACAGTACTCCAAATTATTTCTGCGTTGATAGTTTCATTGTTTGTAGATGCTTTCAAGCTCCAATAGAGACAATAAGCCATTGACCCTTCTCAACGGTGTAAATGGCAGAGCCTTATGCATACTAATTTACAAATACAGTTCAAGGAAATATTGATTTAATGTTATTGAGTGTAACACAGGGTTAATGCTTTAAATTAGTACAACAAAATAAAGTTGTTGCTTCAGGTTACAAATTATCTTTCACTCTCCTATTCCTTAATTTTAGCTAGCCAGTATCACAAATATTTAATTATGTAATGATGAGAAAAAGAAATTCCTGCAGTGTATTACAAATACTGTAGAATGCATTTCTGTACTACCGTAGCAACAACTTGGAGTTTAAAACAAAGACTGTTGGCAGTAAGGAGAAGAAATTTGCCCAGGGCAGCATGCTGTTGTGAGCAGAAATTTTAGCAGGCTGGCCAATTGAAAACCATGAATGAATATCACCGCATATGCCAATTTATGACTAATCCTCTAATACTTGCATATTTGCTAGCTGTGCAGTCTTCCTTCACATCAGCTGTTTGAATGTTCGAAAACATATATGTACAGGGTTTAATTCATTTACTTTTTAGCAAACCTTGTAAAATTACTTTAATGTTTATATCGTGTTGCTAAGTCATGAATAACCCTTTTGTTAAACCTGAATCTAAAGTTTGTCAGGTGTTCAGAAGCAGTTGTCAGTTAGCTATTTTCAGTTTGTTTGTCAAGAAGTTAAATAGTACAGTAATCCCAAAATATATTTTTCTTCTTTGTTAATATCATGGCTAGATGATTAAAATTCTATACTGCTATAACACAATTCAAGTCTATGATAAATATCTATTTTTAAATCTATTATTATTATTATTATTATTACTGTATTATAGAAATATCACAAAAGAACCTTTTTATCTGTACATTTCAATGACGCCAGTTTATGTAATTCAACCAATGCAACATGTTCAGCAGAATTAAAGTACTGTGCAATAACCATATATTACTTAGTAATGCTCCATTGAAATGAGGCTAAGGTAAATAATTATTACAGTATCAGAAAATTATCTCACCTTTTCTCGACAGGTGTTTCATGGTCGTTCCACCGAACAATAATGCCTACTGTTCCAACACCAAACTTGCATGTAATGTGCGAATCTCCTCGAAATAATTCTGTGTCCCAGAATTCTACACCATAGTCATCAAGAGAGTAGACCTCTTGAACAAGTTTGTACTCTGCTGACGAGCGACGCATGCCTCTCAGTCTAGCATGTTCTGTGACTATCATTATTTTGTACTCGTCCGTTAGTTCTTCTGCTGGAAGGAAACAGTGGTACTGGCACTGATGAGGGTTGTAATCACCATGCTCGGCTTGTGCTATTAAAGCTGTGATAGCAGCTGCCTTTTTGGCCTGCGCAAATAAAGTTTCATCTTCTAATCGTTTCTTTGCTTCCAAATAGAAGAGGTGTCTAGAGAACAAATTTTAAAAATTGTAATTTTAAATATTGTATATGGCACAATTATTAAAGTTAATACATCCCTTCCAAGTAATACAAAACATTGAAAGCGGACAAACTAAGTGATTGCCAGCAAAGTATCATTGTCAGCATGATAGATAAAACCCTACTCTAATAAAAACCGACTGTAGTTGACAGTATTTCTAAATGATTTTGAACACATGCACAAATGCTACTTTTCAGTGAGTATATTTAAGTAACCAAGTTTCCTTGGTTGCGACAACCTTTTATGATAAATCTATTAACAAAGCAAGTTCAACTAATTCTTTGTGGCCTTTCTTTGAATTTGCCATTAACAAAAAATTATAATGATTGTAGGCATTTAATGATGAGAAACGTATGTCAAATTCATGTATTTAATACAGATTTGGCAACTCATCAAAACTATGCAGTTATTATCAATGAGAATGATAAAATTAGCCTTTTCAAAATCTGATATGAAATTACCACACTACAGTCATTTAATGCTCAGAAAGAATGTCATAAATAAAAAGTTAAAAATCAATTAACATTGATCTCATTATCTTTGTTGCACAATGTTACATCAACTGGTATTTTGTTGGTAGGTGTACAGTCGATGCAATTTAGTTCAACAGATATATTCATTAAAAAAAAACAGCTGATCATACAGCATTCTTTCAGTGTTAAAAAAACAAACCAAAAGCTTTAATCCATAGATTCAAAATGCCTGCAGGCACGGGCACTGTTGAGCAGGGTAGATCGAGAATTATTTCCATGTTGCAGAAAAATTTAAATATTCACCAAAAAAAAAAAAAAAAATATCCTGCATAAGTTGTATAAAATTTCATATTTTTCTTTGTAAACCTGGTTGTAAATTGCTGGCTTTGGCACATATCCAGGTTTTGAGGTGGCATTGTATGTTAATGAGTTTGTACAAAGGATGCATGATTCAAACTACAGTATCTTCCACATCAGCTACTGTATCTAATTTGAAATCTACAGTACACAGACCAATCTGAGTAAACTGCTTTAAATAATACCATAAAGACGATTGTATGCTAATTTTGTTTTTATAATATTCATTATTTATTTACTGTAGGTGAAACTAACAAGGTCATGGTGTTCATATATAATTGTTCAAGTTATAGAAATAAAGGGAAAAATTAGATCAACATGAGCTGAATTAAAAACACTCCCATTTTTACAGAACAAATAATGCATTATATTTAATGAAATTAAAAGCATTATTATGTTCATGGAAACAGTGAAGATTTAACTTGCTTTAATAACTTCAGAAACAAGCAGCTTTGTCAAATGACACATGCAATTAAGCAGTATCGCCTGTACAACAAGCTACTGTAACAAGCAAATCAAAGATAAGGATTTTGTAGTATACACCTCAAACTGAAAGCGGTCTCCGTACTCTTGGTTGCATTTTCATTGCATTGTGCTCTTTTTGGTAATTGTTGTATGCAGTGGTGGTAGTGAACTTAATCAAATATTCAAAACAGATTAATAAAATCTGGGCATTTATTGCTGTTGATAAAACCAAATATAAAATATTGATAGGAAAAACAGAGATAAAAACTATAAATATTTACCTCGTTGATTGTTGTTGGATTAAGTGAGGTTCCACATGGTACTTGACTCTCAACTCCAGCCAATAAGGCTGTTGCCCCTGAAGTTGTGGTAGTAATGGATTTTTTAAGTTCAACCACTGTACATTTTTTTCTTTCTTGATTGCTTTCAATCCAAAGTAATCAACTTCAACAATGTCCATCCGCCGACAGACCTAAGGGCAAGAAAATACAAAAAAAGATAAATAACATCTACAAAATACAAACCAATATCTTGGGATTGAAATAAAATACAATTTATAGTAACAACCTCAGTAAATTTACTATTGCCAATCCCATTAAAACAGGAATATTAAGAATCTACTAATATTAAAATGACAATATTTTGATTGGGAATGACATAGTCAATATGTTAATACTTTCATGTCAATATGTCAACATTTTATTTTTGTACTGTAACTATTAATTGTATTTCTTCATGTTTTACACTGATGACATTTGTAAAACACTTAAAACAGCAGTGACAGCATGTTACTGTGTAACAGACTAGGCTACATAGTACACACAGTCCTAGTTAGTTATTAATCTGTTTCTGAGTTACCAGCAAGGGTCTACTATAGTATTAATTAGTAGGCTAGTAGTACCGTACCATAGAGAAAATAGGTAGCAGGCGTAAGTAGTAATATTAGTAGGCATAAGTAAGCCTACCTAGTCGTACACTACTAGTAGTAGTAGACGCCATGGTCCAGGGTAGCAAGCTAAGCATACCATCCGCACGTAGGTAAGAATGTGTAATCACTGCGTCCACAGAATTTTTACGAACAATGCAGTACTAAAAAAAAACAACCAATTTTCTAATGGCTAATGCACTAACTAGGGCCTAGGCCTATGTTTTCAAAAAGTAGCATACACTCACTAGTGTCACTAGTCCTAACTAAGCATAATAATGTGGTTAAAAACACATCCATTGTTAAAAGGTTTCCTAATACTTAACCAAAATTGCGCAATGTCAAAGTCTGAATGACTATTTCCAGACAACTACTTCCTTTGTGCCCTGCTCCTGCTACCTAGGCTAGGCCTACATTCATATTTTGCTTTCTTTGTTTATCAATGTCAGATTGCACTGTTCCACTATTATTTTCCAATCCAATAAGTATGTAGAAAATAATGCTAACAATTCTAAAATATAATTAATAATATAAAACGGTGCGCGGTTATCTTTATTAAGAGTGTTTGAATGAACCTTTGGATACAGGACACTCTCTTGTTGGAGGTTTTACTTGAGTGATTGATCAGCTGGTGCTCAGCTCTCGAATTTTGTTTGTCTCTCTCAATTCAATCTAGGCCTAGGCTTCCTAATCTTACCTCATCAAGACAGTCTTGTCCAGTTTGTTTGGAGTTAATTTCTATCTGCTCTACTGAGTTATCTGGCTTTTTAACATGTGCCAACATCTTGCCTGCAACATACGAAAAGTTGTTACATTTTTGAAAAGACATTGATGATAGTCCAAAATCATTGAGCACTGCCCTATTCAAACTGTTCGCCTGTGGTTTTCAGATATCTGACTGAAGCTAGCCTAGCGTCGTCGTAACCGTAACCGGCCGAACAAGTGGACTATGCATGACCTGGGTATTTCACAAAGCTGGAATTGCACACTACTGGATAGGGGAACTACACAATTTTAAACGAACAAATAATATACAATTTAGCAAAATAACTTTCAGTTCAACAAATTTTAAGTATTTTTTAAACATATCTAGATTATAAAGATGAATAATTATTAGATATTCAATTGTTTTAAAGTTTAGATGTGTTCCTATAATAAAGTTAAACTACCTATTATGAATAATGAAGACATCAGTTAAAAAGCATGCTTCCACAGCATGCAGTTTGTGTGTCAACCAATCACCGTTAGCGATTTTCTCCCACCAATGCTGGTCCAATCGAATCACGAGCTTGGAAGGAATTCCCCTGATTTGCATCTTTACAGGTCTATTTTTAGATCATAACTAAGAAGGGTATTCCTATAATACGTACGTTCTCGGCGTGTTGTTCCAGTGTTCGAGCAATAACACATTTTATTATTTTCCACCTTTCAGTATTTTCTAATCATCATTATAAAGTGATTCACGAAATAATAAATAGGCTCAAGCCCAATGGCTCTTTCTTATGGACACTACTATTTTGTTAATAGGGCTATTTTATAGCTCCATGATTCTACTGCTCTAAAGGAAAAACATCTAGCCAAACACTGTACCTGCTGAAAAGCCCTGACCTTCAAAAGTTACAAAGTGCACTTTCTAGTTTAATTAATATCCATTTTCGAACCAATTAATATTTTTTTTATATATTCATATTCTTTATACACTAGGCCTATATCATGGCAAGCGGGTCACGAAATCCTTGAACAATATTAATCCTGACGTCACAATAGCTCATGGATGATTCGTCAGCGCCAACCTTTCATTTTCGTTTTTGTGATCATTGCGAAATCGTATATACCGGTGAATCATCACCGTCAGACAGAATAGGAAAACATTTTTTCACGCTTGTAATTAGGGTTTATCATGTGATTTGATGAATAGGCTAAGCATAGCATTAGGCCTATCTGAAAATAAGTGATAGCAGCTTCATGACGTTTTCAGTCGTTTTCATCCTACAGAATATGTAAAAGCCATGTAGGATACGACCTTCTTTTCATACGTATGAACTTAAGTCTGGTTGCTTCACTTCCTCTGTTGTGGTCCGTCTTGAATCTATCTACAATATCTAAGAAGGAAATTCCGTTTGGCTATGGTATAGCATGATAAAATACAATGGCCTTATTATAAATAGTATAGTAGTAATGCTCCGTTAATAAAACAGACACTCGAGTGAAAATTCTCTCTTAAATGAGTGAATACTATTCTTAAAACAATGAAAAATTAGTAAAATTCACTCTGAATAGTCAAATCTCAATCTATTTCACTCTGTCAAGAGTGGTCACTGTAGGCACTATTTCACACATTTTTTTCACTCTTTGCACTTAAAGAGTCCATTCCAAAACCTAATTACGTTTCCGTTGTTTTCTGTTTGACTGATGGACAGGCCTCTTCAACAATAAGGCCATTCGTCGTATCATCGGAAGTTACAAATCTAAGCTCGTTATTTCATGTTGGTTTACAACGTTTTAGGTAAGCCTGTACAAACATTGCATTTTTTTCATTTTATGGATTTATATTAAATTAAAAACATTAGTTTGATTGGCCTTAATAAGCTCTCTGTAGTTTTGTAGTTTCTTAGAGGTTCGTTTTATCTTTATTGATCATCTACATTTTTAATATTCATTATTATCTACACCTACCTATTAGGGAGTTTTCGCTGCACGACGTTAACCTTAACGTTAACGGATGACGTCATAATTTATTCATCTTGCGTTTACGTAATTTCAGGATTTTACGTGCCTCGATGGACGTTAGTTACGAGTTTGCGCAGGCGTATTTCGATTTGTTTACAAAAGGGGCGGAGTTATCGCGTTGCATGTTGGGTACTAACGTTAAAGTTAAGGTTAACGTCGTGCGGCGAAATTTTATTAAAACCACGTACAATTTGAATTTCAATGCATACCTTGGCCTATGTTTAATTTGAGCACCCGAATTATGTACACAAACATTTCATTACCGGTAGGCCTACTCAAACAAAAAATAAATAGGGATACTGATGAGATTTTAGTAACGCGCGCATCAGTGAAGTAAGTATTTACGTTCCCACTTGTCGCCGCGTAACGCAATGATTTTCACGGTAAGCTTTCAAAAGCCGTTATGAAATTAGCATTCATACTAATGTATTGTAGGGCAGGACTGGGCAGTGTGTTCTGAATATTACTTATCGCAGGCATATATGACTCTTTTACGCAACGCAACGTAAGGAAATGAACTTTCAGCAATTTTGTCCTTACGGAAAGTTGAATTTGAACTTCTTATGACGCAGCGTAACAAAATGGATACGGTACGGCACATAGCTGGGTTATGCCTGTTTTAATGCTTTATTGATTTTTGCTTTTCAGCTGTAATAATAGGCCACCCAGAAGAAAAAAATAATAAATCAACATTTATACAATTTTTCGCAGATAGCCCCTAGATTAGGCCTGGTCCGTTTAATAAATATACAATTTACACATAATTACTGTAATTATTAACATAAACATTATCTAACAATACTGCACCTAGGCCGTATTTTAAAATGTAATATTTAATTGTATTAATTTGGCATATTAAATTAAATCTACAGTAAATTGTTTGCTTGATGTTTAATTACAAATTGTATGACATCATGTTTTTTGTAAATCTAGGATTTAAATTTTGTTTACACAGAATATAACAAGGCCTGAATATACTATTACCTAAAAACATATAGGCTACTGTACATTAAGTCCATCATAAAAAGCTAAGATGAGAGTCAAGACAGAGTGTGCTAGACTCAGAAAAATATTTAAATCAATGTAATATCAGAGGTGGCGCCAGGTTTTTTTCCGACGGGGTAGGGTATGGGGACGAAAACATAGTGGGCGTGGTCGGATATCGTGAAAGTGTTTCAGGAGGCGAAGCCCCAAAATAGGCCTATATGATCGACAATTAATGGGTTTTAAATTCTTATTTACTGTAGTCGATTTTAGAGGCTACTAATTATGTAGAAAATACATTGAAGTTGACGTTCTCCCCGACGACTTCTGGTTTATCTCCCCGACGGGAAGGTGGGGGGGTCCCCTCCCGCCCTTCCTACCTTGCTTCACCTCTGTGTAATATATATAATAGTTTTTGAACGGATGGGTAAGATGCGTTGCATATTATTATAAATATTAATGTAGTATATGCCATTCAGTAGACACCGTAATTGGCTCTATCAAAACCAGGCTAGACTTGGCTTGGCCAGGCTATGATGGTCATATTTATTTCATTTCATGATCAGACCAACAGCGAATCATCGCCACTAACAGGCTGGTAAAATATATAAAATTTAAATATATCAAATATATAGACGAAAGAGTACAAAAATCTCCCCTATTCAAATGATTAATAATAATAGAATGAAATAGACAAACTATTGTGAAAAATGTCAATATTAGAGGTTAAAATAAGAGAATTATATTGAAGAGAAAGTCTAGAAATAAAATATAATAAATATGATAATAATAACAGTAATAATAGCAGCATGCATCATTGATAACAACCAATAATAATTATTATTTAATTGGCAATGACTAGGGCGATGGCGACGGTCTAAGATGATAGAAAACTCATCCAAAAAATGTAAACTATAAATCCAACAGTTAGAGCATGCGCAAATTAGCTTTTAAGTTAAGAAAAGTTAAATCGATTTAACTAACTTACGTAGGCCTGTAATTGCTTTGTTGTTGTACTGGGTAAACGACAGGTTGTATCTTTTCTTCTTCACAAATGATTCTAAAATAATATTGGTTGCAAACATGTAGTATGGTCAATCCTCGACTTACACAAATAAACGATGCGTCGGGCCTTAGCAATTTATAACAAAATGCTGGGGATTTTTGGTTGGACGAAATCCAAAATAATCTGACGGGTTATTGTTATTAATTGTGTGCCGCGGCTGATGTGTTAAGCTATCAATCTTGAATTATTAATTAGGCCTAATTTCTAACAATTAATTCGATTCCGATCTAGTTTTGGAAAATTTAATTAGCCCTAAGAAAAGATCTGTGATCTAGACCTGATAATAATAATAAATAAATAGGCTTAAAAATAATCAATCAATCGTTTTGTTCTTAGTTTTGTATATTCTTAAGTAGGCGTATTCAGAATCATAGTATTGGCATATTGAGTGTAAAACGAATGCATGCAGATAATAAAAAAACAAGAATATAAAAAACAAATGGATGACGCATAGGTACTGAACATCTAATTAAATGATATTTTACAAAGTAGGCTTACAGTAGTTCTAATTTACGGTTTTATAAATAAAAATTTTAATAATTCGGGAAATTTTGGTTTAGATGCGAGCCAGAATGCCATTGTTATTATGTTTAACCTACACAATTGTATACAGGTTTTATTTCAGTATTCCAAAAATAATCATTATGTAATTTTTGGTTGATTTTGGATGGGATCCAGATTAATCAGGTGATGCCTTTATTGTTAGGGCGGATCACACCACTCACTCATTTACGTATCCTTATTATGGTTTTAAATAAATTACCGTAAGCCTAAATGCTCGAATAACCGTCACACCAAGTCTGATTTCTTTTTCGCTAAGCGCCTAGGCGCTTAATCGAGAGTTTATGTTACCATGTGTGTAATGAAACAGTTTGAGAAACAGGTTTTTAAATACAATGCATGTATAGTCTTAAAATGAATAAATAACACAATGAAGACACGCATTTCTCTATAAACGTTTATTTACGATGACGTAGGACCATGATGGGCCTACTGAACTATACGGGAATACGTGAGCTATATACTAATAATGGGAATGGGCATTTTTTTTTATAAGCGCTGCTCTCGAATAAGCGCCGCACTGAAGCGGTGAATTGAAGGCGACACTTGGATGTACGTTACCATTCACGTGCGCAGATAAATGTCATACCTGAATCATTCATGTAGGATGTTGACAATTAGTGACTGGTGTTAAAATTTAAACGTAAAAATGATGTTTTTATTAAATTATAATTATTAGTATTATTGTTCTTGCTGCTTTTTTTTTGTTATCATCATTATTACTATTATTATTATTATTATTAAATCTATAACATTTTGGCCAGTTCTAGGATATGACTTGTTTGAAGGGTTGCAGTGGCGGATTCAAGGATGGAGGAGGGGGGGGGGGGGTAGCCGGCCCGGGACCCCCTAAATTTTTCAAAATTATATTCAAATATTTAATTCCGAGAGTGTCATTTACGGCGGCCATCTAAAGGTGCCATAATCATACATTTTCTTTCCTCAGCCCCAAACATCTTGGGGGGCTGAGGTGGGTTCATCCTATACTTGTGAAAGTACCTCCATGGGCAACCCCCACCCTCTATTCCGAAATCCTGGGTCCGACACTGGGTAAAAGGAAAGCTATGTGAGCATGGTGTTCATTTGACCACAGATCCTGACATGACAACAGAGCTGGTCAACAAAAATAGTGGTCTTAAATAAAAGTTTCATTTTAGGCCAACTCCCTAGATTATTTCGGAGTCATAAAAAACATGGATGTTTCTTAAAATTTTAGGTAGAGTCTGTTTAGTACCACCCCTGGTAACCCACAACCTCAATATTCTTCCCTACATTCAACAGGTGTACATCGTAGTGGGGCAGGCCACGTAATAGATATAAATTTTGATGCAAAGAGATTGAATTTGACAATGATCAGATCTATTGTATTTCCTCCATGGTATGACAGAGGACTGCAAACCTGAAAGTCAATAACTTGTTTTTCAAGAATCATTCAAGCGTAACCACCTACGTATAATACAGACTTGTATTCATTTTTTATTTTTATAAAGTGAATCCATTTGTACTCCTAATAAAGGACAAAGCACATACAGTACTAGTTCAAGTCCCAACAAGTTTAGAGAAAATGAGGATAGGGATTCTATTATCGCAGTATAAGATGATGATTTTTTATCCAAAAACCGAAAGGTCCACTGATTAATCTCAGATAAGATACATACTACTGTGTATCGAAATGCACGCCATCGTGTCGGGATTCAATATTTCGACATTTGTGTCATTATCAGGAATGATCCCGACACGATGGTGTACATTTCGATGCTTATAGTATGTATTATACTATCTCAATGGACCTTTCCGCTAAGCCCCGCCCATTGGATATTGTTGCTAAGGTCCCACGAAGACGACAATGTTAAAACATACGCAAACACGTGCGTTTGTGGGGCAACACGTGTGTTTGTAAGACGCGTGCGTATTCCTAGCGTTGTTCTGATTAGTCAGTTGTTAAGTTTGATTGACACTTCGGAAAGGTCTATTAGGTTATCATATTCATATTGACTTAGGCCTATTTGGGACATGGACCTTCTGCTAAGGCCCGCCTTTTGGATACCGTAAAACCTCAAATTGAAGCCCAGTGGGCTTACTCTCGAGATGAAGGGTATCTCGAATTGAAGCCCCTCTTTAGTTTGCAAAGTTAGCATAGGCTTTTTTTCGAGATGGTACAGTTTATACACTATACATGAATTGAAAAAACAAAATAAATAAAAAGAAAAAAAACTTGGTTTATACAGTAGTTTAGGTGATTTAATGTCAGTTAAATACACTCCATTATACAGATTGATGTTACAGTGGCTGTATTTATTGTTTTATAGTACAAATTCACAAAATTTACAGCACTCATTTCGAAAAGAAGCCCCCCCTCTTTACTTTACAAAAGTGTAGCCTCAAAAAGAAGCCCATCTAAAGTTTGCAAAAAACAAAAACAGAAGCTCAGGGCTTTAATTCAATGTTGTTAAGGTTCACAAGACATTAGCGTGGCAAAACATGAGTGTTTGTAAGAAAGAGGTGTGTCACTTGCTCTGTTATGATTGGTCAGTTTCATAAGTTCAATTGACACTCCAGTAAGGTCTATTATTCAAATCATATTTGACTTTCTTGAGGATATCTCTTGTAGAATCAGGAGGGAACAAACCAAGTATTGTACTAAGTATCATAGATACATATATTACATCAAGGTATAGTTTTATTAATCAAACAAAAGCTGTCACATACTGGAACCAAATGACTATACAATAAGGAGGTATTAGAATTTATTTTAATATGATATAATTAATAATATGTACATTGAAATAGAGCAATAAAGAAGCAATAGGAATTATACAGGATGCATCTTAACCATGTATTATGTATCTATATTGACATTTAATCTGCATTCATAAAAAAGTTCAGAGCTATTGTGTTAGAATTCCTAGGTTGGAGCTGCAACAAGTCCTGCTGATCCCTGGCCTAGCTGCTGTCCTCCAACTGTACTTTCAAGCGGCTTGAAGCCCAGCTCTTCTGTTGGAACGCCAAACGTCTGTAGCTTAGACTCGTAAGTCCTAAGGAGGTCGTTGTGTGCCTGAAATGAATAAAGACAAATGTGTGGCTACTGATTTACTGACAAATCTTTATGGGATTAAAAAGATTAATAACCATAACATTCATTATTCCTAGGATTAATCCACATTAAGTCTAATAATAAAAGCCAAATACAATAGAATAGGGATTTCCAAAAACAAATGTCAAAGATGACTTTAAAATCCTCCTATAATCTGACTATGACTTCAGATCCTGTCTGTGGTAACTGTTAACATCCAAAACAACCTTGCTTTACTCGAAGAGAAATAAGAGATTATAAAACGATTAAAACTTTGCGCATTAAACAGTGACGTGGAATGCAGTTCAGAAGGGAATTTGAAAACAAATCCTCGTATAAAAATACACAAAACAGAAAATGGTAAAAGTTTGTTCCATGTAAAACACACTAAGGATAGGTAACACAGCGGGAAAGTCGGACGACCTATTTTTTGGTGGGGTCCTTCAGCTGATGAATTGGGGAGTGTACCAGGCGGGGTACCAGGAGACAAATCTCCTATTCTTTTATTTCTGAAAAATGTAAAGCATTATTTAACATGCACATAAGCATTATTGCACACAGAACTGGTAAATTCTCAAGTGTTAGACAGTGCGTTATTGTAACTTGCATTTCAGCCCTTAAACTGAAATGCACAAGGACAGCAGCAAATGTTAAAGGTGTGAAAGGATCTCCACGGTTCTGCATACTTTGACTAGTTTAACTGACAATGCTAAACTGCTGATGTCTTACTAAAAAAAAATGGTCTCAATATTTTTGATATACTAGCATTTATTCCCATATTATTTATATTTAAAACTTATTTCAAAAAATGCATTATACAGAATCCTGCAATTTCTGTTGCAGTCTTGTTACTGGCGTATGTTGTAATTAACAAAAATATATAATTAAAATAAATTCAATTAACGCTCTAAATTAAGTGTGCTGTTAATTAACAAATTAATATATTGTCACTGTAATGCTTTCATTGTTATTATCATTATTATTATTATTATTGTTATAGGCCTATATATTTCTATTTCTTGCTACAATAATTGTACAAGAAAATAATGTTTAAAAATTATACTTTACATTTAAAAATGTAGTACTTATAATTATAATTATTCTTGTGAAGGTTTCTCTAATTGGTGTTTTACATTGTTTGATGCAATGAAAAATAAAGAAAAATGTGTTTTATCATGTATTTTAGAAAGCACTGTACATGTTACAATCAATGATGAATAGCTCTAACTTCTTAGCAATGACGCATTGAAATTTTAGTATTCTGCAATGAAAAGCGAACATCTGAAGCGAAACATCCTAAAATCCCAAAGACCTAGAATTTTTAACTGCAATGTAATTTAGTATATTGTCATTGTTATTAACATTATTATTTTTACTATAGGCCTATACATTTTTATTTCTTGCTACAATAATTGTATTAGATAACACTGTTCAAAATGTTAACCTTTTAAATTTAGTACTATAAAATTATAATTATTTTTGTGAACATTCTCTCATAGGTGTTTCACATTTTTGGATACAATGAAAAAAAAAGAAAAAGAAAAAAAACGAGAAAGGTGCTTTATCATGTATCTTGTAGAAAGCATTTAGACTTTACAAACTACACCGGTACAATCAACATCGATTAGTTCTGATTTCATAGCAATGACGCATTGAAATTTAGTTTTCTGCAATGAAAAGCGAACATCTGAATCCTAAAATCTCAAAGACCTAGATTTTTTAACTGCAGTTTATGTTTTCTAGGAAGGTAATATCTTATTATAGTTCATGCTGCTAAGCGGAATGACTCATCGGATATCAGCATCTTCCTCTGAAGCAACAACATTCTCTACATGATAAATTCTACATTCAAAGATCAGACAAAATATATTTGATTTATGTTTACAGTAAATATTGTGCTGGTATAATAATTATTATTGTGTTCATTAACCAATCAGATCATCAAAAGGAGGGACACTCTATTCTTTACTCCATCCAGGAATAATAGGCGTATATGGATGGGTCTGGTAGGATCTTGTTGCATTGGAAGTTGGTATAATGTGCAGTGCTTAGCACGATTTGGAATTCCCCAATCCCAGTAAGCGGAGGAAGTTTCATGTTAGTCGATAGGAGAGCTTTCGATTGCACGACGACGGTAGGACGTAGAACATAATGACATCACTAAAAGTCATCTGCGCATGCGAGAACGCTAAGGTCACCTCGTCCAGTAGATTCTGGAACGCAATTTGGCCAAATCTACGTATGCAGAGAACGTAGGACTACGGGTGGGACGGTCACGCGTGGGACGGTCATCGCACAAATTGAAAGTTCCCTATTATTTATCCAATGATAGGGGAATGTCATGATTAATCCAGACCCATAATTAGTGAAATGATTTACCAACCAAATCAAATGTGAAAGGAATGCTGGGTACAATTGTAACCCTTAAGGTCAAATCAGTCAGTGTTGTACGCCGCAGTCTGACGCGATTTTTTGTCGCATTGGGTCTGAGTAGGTTAAATGCTGATGTGATAGATCTGCATCGGATATGATGATTTTTAATTTTTAATAAATTGTTTAAAAATGTTGAATGAATTATAAAGTAACAAATGTCTTTTCCAGTGCCAGTGATCATTTTAAATGGATATTGTTCTAGCTGCACTTTATTATTACTATTATGAAGGTATTCAAACATCCATATTCCATCATTAAAACCCACAAAATAAAACAACTTAAATGATGCCTCAATATTCTTCAGCAGGATTACATCTAATTTTGTTTATAAAAAGATATATATATATTGGGGAAATTTTGGCTTGGAAAGAATCCAGAATTATCAGGTGATGTCTATTATTGGGCGAATCAGACTACTGATCAAATATTGTTTATTTATCCAAGAAAGAGTACTATACAGTTTACATTATATTCAATTGGAGGTGTGTGAAGGGTATGAAGGTGGCTTGGCAGATCCATTTCTTTGTTAAGGATTACATTCACATATAACATATCAATTTCACAGAGAAGCATGGAGTTTTAAAGATCAATTTAAAGATGTACCATATGTCATAAAACCTATAATATTCTATGAAAATCACATAGAAACACAGATCAAACCAAATTCAAAGTCTTCACTGATTTACAGACCTTAAAAAACTAAAATCCTAAAGTTGATTAACAACCAATTTAAAGGTCTATGCAAAAAAATAAAGGAAATGTATTATTTATATATTGGTGAGAAATATATTTTACCTTTCTAATTTTCAATTGAAAGCTAAAAATTTAGCCTACTTAACAAAGAATTAAAAATCCGAACAGTTTTTTTAGCATATCACAGACAGTAGATTTGTTATTAAAAAGCAACATCAACTTTGTTGAGATAGAAGTTTTTGATTACTAAAAAAACAACTTCAACATTGTCGTTTTTAAAAACCTGGTGACAGAAATTGGGAACATTCTCCACTCTTTGTGTTGTTCAACAAGCGTTGAAATTACTTTGGTGGGCTGTGCATTGATGACATCCTACAGTACCAATAGAATTTCAATCGATTTCCGTGATGCGTTTGACAATAATCCTATGTATTGCAGAGAGCTTAATGGTGAAGGTCATTAACTTGGTATTTGTCTTTCAAGAACCATCCAAGCGTAACAAACAACTTGCATGTGAGACCTAATTATTCGTCTTTAATATTTTCATAATAATTTTCATTTCATTTTAAAATGTCAATCACGCTCAGCTGAAGTGCTTCGTGCTGATAATAACAAAAACAGAAAAGTAAAATACTGGTACAAGTACAAACTAGTCTCAACAAGCCTAGGGGAGTGTAGATGAAGAAAAATTGGTATGGGGAACAGCTAGGAGGGGAGAAAATTGGAAAGCAAGTAGGCTGGACAGAGAGAATGCTGAACAGGGAGAAGGTTAGGAAGGGAGGCGTTATCACTGACGACAACTCAGCTTTATTTTTTTAATATCAGGGAGATTTATCGCACCAAGAAGATTCAATAAATTATTATACTGACTAAAATGTTGGATGCAACCAAATTATGCAAATCAGATCATGTTTAAAGTGAATCAATGAAACTAAAGACCAACTACACTTACACCTGCAGTTCAGTTTTTTTTTTTCTCCTAGAAAGGCAATAGCTAGATAGACAACTGTCATATTGAGCAGATGACTCATCAGTAAGGAGTCAACGACCCTTAAGCTGCAACAACATTGTCTACAGTGTACATTATAAACTGCACGTATGAAGAAGAAACAACATTCGTTTTATCCGGGTTTAAAGCCAGACTACAGAGGAATCAAATTTTGTTGTACAACTGATTTTTTTAAGACACAAAAAAATATTTTACGACTCGACACGGGAACGGTCAATGAGATAAAGATTTTTGAATATTTCAAAACTGGGGAAAAATGGGTGGGGCGTAATCACCCCTTTTCCCACCTTTTTCTCCAGGTCTTAAATATTCTCATTAACCATTCCCAAGATTTTCGTCAAATATGTTTTTTGTGTCTTAGGAAAATCAGTTCTACAACATAAATTTTTTTTCCCTCCTGAGCCTGGCTTTAAATTATGCCATGTATAATATTTATTATTAAAATTACAATAATCATACTTATCAATTATAATTATTATTAATATTATTATTATTACTATTATTGCTTGTTGATGCTGCTGCTATTGTTTCTGTTGTTGCTGTGCTGTTGTTTGCTACTGGTGCTGATTGCAAGTTGTGTTGTTGCTACTATTACTGTTGAAGTTGTTGTTGCAGTGTTTCTGTTGTTGTCATCATTGTTGTTGTTTTCTTCCATTCTTTTTTTTCGTTCATTTTGCTGCAGTTATTTTTGCTGGTGCTTTTGTTATTGCATTTGTTGCTGGAAGTATAACTCAGTAGCCAATTTACAAGGTAGACGGGGGCTCCCCTATCATACATACAGTATCTGTATTTCAGTATTATAATGACACTTATTGACGGTTAATTTACAGTTCATTAATCAATAATTCGTCTTTTATTTAGGACTACCAATACCATATAATTCTTACTACATCATTTAATACTTATGCAATTACCGTGAGCACAGATTAGACTTTTGAATGGGAAGGGAATTATAATCATAAAATTTAGACAAAATTACGACGGGAAAGGTATTTGAAAGTTTATAACAAGGGGAGGGAAATTACTACAACTTATATATTTTCTTTTTAAATTCTATTCAATCCCACAACTTTCTACTAGTTATGCATTTATACTGCTGGGTGAAGAGAACCAAACATACTGCCTAGCATAGTACACAAGTGAAATGCACAGAACATGATTCAAAACATCAACCAGAACTACACCAACTGCTCCCTGTGACATGTAGTTGGGGAAATTAATTCTTGGTGACAATTTTATAAAATAAAAATTCTGATGAAATTGAATTTTAAAAAGTTAAATTTTTCAAGGTATTATTATGTTTTCCCAACCTTGACCTGCATTAATAATTTGCATGAAACAATGAGAACCCTGGATAGCTGGTGCAATAATGACTGCCCTGGATGTGGTTATGCACAGTTTAATTGTGGCAAACATACACAAGATCGAAGTCACATGCAATTTATGACATCAGCTGCTTGTGGTTTTTTTTTTCATTCGAAAGGTTGAATAAATTCGAGAAATTTCGTAAATTTATCAGCCTTCTTATGGTTTCAATTTGTTCTTTCTTCAATTAATAGACTGATTTTTTTAGAAAAATAATGAGAAGGTGGTAATGGGGGACAAATAAAAGATCTGCTCAAAGTGAATCATCTGGATTTATATAGAAATTAATACATAAATTAGAGGTTACTATTTCATCTACTGCTATTAAAATTGCCTGAATACATGGCCATATACAAGTTTATACAGTGATAGATATTGTTCATTGTAACTATTCTATAAAAAATTAACAATCATCATTCATTGTAATTAATCCAAAGTAAATTTATGGTCAGTAAATATTACAGTTCTATTTATTTATTATTTATTCAGGTATACATTATAAATTGCAAAACCGGTAACAAGATTTTAAAATGGTAGATTACAAAAAAGAGCACAAACCAGTAAAGCAGAACAGAGAAGAAATAACCAACAGACCAATGGCCTTTGATTGTTGAACAGTTACAATAGAATTAATAAAGAATCATTGCTAAATATGGTATTGTAGATGAATTATTTACTGTACAGTATTTCTGCCTTGCACTTTTACAGTACAATAGAAAAATATGATAATCAAGTATAATATCATCCATGGACTTTAGCCCTGTCCAGAATAAAATTTTATTTACAAAACCATGTGACATGCCTAAATATAGTCATGATGAAGATGAGCGAGAAGCAGATGTGTATAAGAGACAGATATATATGGGCATACAACAGCTTTTTGCCAAAGAACTTTATAGTATGGACAAGACCTTAGAGAGAGGCAATAGCAAGAAGGATATTTTAATAGCATTTTCTCATTAATATAATGCTTAAACATGATATCTATGATATTTATTATTGCATTTCATTTTAAAATTTACTTGTTTATTTGTGAATAATATTCATCTATTAATATCATCTGGTTATGTCGAAATGTTATGGCCTCCAGCTTGTCATTCTTTGGATTCACCTTACTCATACCATGACATTTTTCATAAATGTACTATTTAATGATTCTTGAATTCTGTATCTATATGCACCCATGGTTCCTTCTTATGGCCAAATGTATGTATTTTGTAGGACAAAAAAAAATTGTAATTCTATTATGAATCATTTGATTTTGATATTGAATACATGTATTCAATGTATACGTTACATCTGACTGAATTTGATAGGAGTACAGCTGATCTAATCATAATTGAATCACAAAATGTTGGTGGTTAAAAAGAAGAGGTCTATGGAGTCTATTTTTATTCCACTTTATGAAGGTCGAGGATAGGGGTAGATAATGAATTTACATGATGCTTATTTACTTGTGTGAATAACACAAATGACAGATGTTATTACATCCCAAGCATATGTAGTGCGAGAGTAGAGCCTAGCTTGGGTTTGTCACATGAACGATTGGTACAATGAAATAATTACAGCGCTAACAGTTGCTTTACTCTTAGTCATGACTTCACAGGCATGTTTATTTTTCAATGGATTTGCATAAAACTCTAAAAGATGTATAGGTAAACAGGAACAAACTATGATAATTATCATATTATATATAAAAGAATGCTGATAATAATTCAGATGCCATGTGTCCTAATACATGGAGTTTTGAAGCCAGCACTTACGACACCAGTGTAATCAACTACACTGACAACTCATGCATATTCAAAAGGCTGTGAGGCAATGACATCACTTCACGCTAACCAATTAATCTCACAGATGCAGAGGTGACTGTCCTGGCAAACACAAATACTAATCCTTACTGAACTTTACACACTAGCAATGCAATAACCTAATAAAATAAGATTTCTCAGTAGAGACCCAATGGAATAAAGTCTGTACCGTATGTATTGATAATGGACCTTTCCGCTAAACCACGCACCCGCGGATATCGTTGCTAATGTCTCACAAAACGAGTGTTAAAACATACGTAGACACAAGTGTTCGTGGAACATGTGTGCTTGTTAGACATGCACACTGTATTCCTGGCCCTGTTTTGATTGGTCAGTTGAGTTTGATTGACACTCAGTAAAAATCCATTATGTGTATTCTAGTATTTGTACTTACTTTGCAAACTCTTGCAAGTTCATATTGCAGATCCTTAATTGCACTGTTCTTTGAATCAAGGACATCCTGAAAATGAGAAAAGATATACAGAAAAATAATTAGTAAGGGTAGTTATCTGTATTGTTAATCTTTTTTGTATTGTAAACATATATTTATATATAAGATAGTATGATAAATATTAGTACAGCAAAAAGTGAAATCACACATAACTTTATTCTTGAATAAATGTTTCTCTATATTTAATAATCATAAAAAAATCAAATATCTTGAAAATTGTGAGAATTTTGTCAAATTTTTCTTTGGTGATTCCCTCTTTTTTTCTCTTTCTTCCTTACGCTCTCTTCATTTCCTCCGCCCCCCTCCCTTTTTTTTCTCACTCCCATGAATTATGATGCCACTGCCTTATCCTTTGTTACTACCAATACTACACAGTATCAAATAACTGCATTTTTAGTTTCATTAAATGGTAAAACTCATAAAAACTCGGGCATTGTATTACTACTGCAAATTAGGATATAAACAACCCACTAAATTGATAAATATAAGCAAGTCAATAATAGCCTGCAGCAAAGGCAAAAACCCTCTTGATAATTCATCAATTCTCCTTGGGCATGGTAATTATATTATGTTCCCTTAGTATTAACGATGTAATCAAACAAGATTGAATTAATCCCGTAATTTAAGACACACACCAACATGAATGTAGCATAGGTAGGGGAGGTCATTGGTTTGGGGAAAGGAAAGTATTTATGATGTAATGAAACAAGATTGAATTAATCCAGTAGTTCAAGATAAAGAATTAAATTAACATGGATGATACAACCACAAAATGTTGCAACAGCCGACTAAATTGCAACAAGATTCAAAACTTGGGGTAGGGAGGTCAAAGTTCGGGGAAAGGAAAGTTTGAGGCAGTACTGTAAGGAAAATGAGGGAATACATATTGACAAAAAAAATAATGAAATGAAATTCTGAGGAACAGGACAGGTGCTAGGAAAACCAAAAGTTATTTTTAAGTGAATACATTTCACAGATTATTAATGAGGCATGTTGTGGCAAAATGGCTAAGTTGTAACAAAAATTAAGTCAAGTTATTGGTATTTTCAGATACCTGAGTATGTGATCTTTAAAATGAGGGGTCATTCATTGAAATTGGACATTTCAAGCCTAAGTTATTGGAAAGTGAAAGTACAGTACTCTTAGAATCAAGATAAACATGATTTTGAGTAGTTGCCTTTCAAAGTTATTTGTGCATACACTGTTTAATGGAATGAACTATCAAAATAACATTAAATAAACAATTTCTTGACCACTTCCAGAACTAATACTTTGGTACATGATTAATAAGACATTAATCTGTTGATTTATAGTGAAAAACAAATTTCGATTTTTAGGCAATTTTTTGAGCTCCCATATTTTATATTTACTCAATACAGGCCTGTGTGACAACTTAACCATTTCGCCACAACATGCCTCATTTATATATTACCGAGACTTGGCATTCAATGCATACTAAATAAATCTTAAGTTACCCTGGTCGATGAATACAGAATTAATTGTACCATAACTGTAGTGCAAACTCCATTGCTCCCTGGGGAGTACTTCCAATCATGTACCTAATGTAATTCGCACTGACATTTCATTAAAAATCATTCACCACCGATGTACACATTTATACTGTACTAATAAGTGGAGACAGACACAAATGTATACCTATAAAGTGCCTAGTTTACGATCAAGAGCAATAAGAGTGACAGACTCAAAGTTACAACCTTCACTTATAAAACTGTACAATGACTGTATATATATATATATATATATATACATACATACACACATACACGCACGCACACACACACACACACACACACATACACACATACATATATGGTAGATGATGAACATGGCATAAATTTTGAAGATAATCACTTAAAAAGCAATCAGCTGTTATTGCAGAAAATGTAATAAAACATCATCCATGCTGCACTAATGGCTACTGAACTAACATTATTGTTTCAGCATGCTGGTATTATCTGCTTCTCAGCCATCTGTTTAATTGTAATGTAAACATGCAACCATATAAATAACACAACAAAAAGGCTTACACATTACATGATGGGTGAATAATCAGGCCCACAGCCTAAATATCTATATTTTCCCCTCCCATAAAAGTAATAGAGAACCCCTGCTATACGACAAACTGCAATAAGTTTAAATTCCTGGAACACAGACTGTAAATTAGATAAACATTATTCAAAAAACGTGACAGTTGAAATAAGGATGCAATTTGTATATATGAAATATAGCAATGTGAACGTGCTAGAAGTCATAAACAACACCATTCCGAGAAACTGTTTATGTGAACTCTGAACTATGAAGGTGTAAATCATTTTTACATTACTTGCACATGAACAAATGAATATAAATGAATGCTGCCTCAATGTAAAGCAATGAACTTGTGCATGTGGGTCTTTTATAGAATGTAATAAGTATGGAGTATTAATAATGTATGTTTCGAGGACTATTGATACAAGCTAGCTATTAACACAAAAGTGCCTATTAAAGCAAAAACACTGTGTGAAAGAACAGATTCCACCCAACTGTTATGTTTATCCAAGTTTTCATACTGATAAATGTAATATCCAATCTTTAATACTGATAACAATAAATATATAAATTAATCTTTGCTTTACACCAATCATTCATGACATTTGGTTTTCCTTTCCTACTACATCATTTAATTTAATAAACAATTTTATAACAGACCCTACACTATATAATCTGCCACTTCTATTTATATATAATGTGACATCAATAAATACACTATTTGAGTTCCTCTAACAGTGATTGAAAGACCTTTGCATCAACTTATTTACATATAAGAAAATATCTGTGCTTAATGTGGTATTGAAAACAAGATATTACTCAATTTGACCATAAAATACAATTTTCAATCCCAGTTTGTAAGGTCAATAATGGCATGTAACTGTAATAAATACTCTAAAGAGTAAAACCTGTGCTAAAGAGGGCGACATTCATAGAAACAGAAATGATACAAAATACTATATAAGTGACAACAATCAAAGCAGAGAAATTACCATATATTTGCCATACCTCAAGTTTTCTGGTAACTACTGTCAAAGCCGTTGGATCAAGGTTCGAGGCTGAGAGGACCTCATTCAGCTGTGCCTCTTTCTTCTCTAGAGTATCTGCAAGAGCTACAAGCTTCTTTTCCAGCAAGAGGTTCTTGAAGTTGCTCTTCTGCTGAACTTCATGGATAGCTTTCACAAACTTGCGATACAGTTCATCTCGCTCATGTTGCATCTAAAACAGATTAAAATAGTTGATATTTTCCACTTTAATGAATTCATTTCATTACAGATTCAAGGCCTACTCGTACAGTATATAATAACTGAGGTGTTAATCATTCTAACCTTGGAAGGAAAGGCTAGAGAAAGGAGACCAAGAGGAAGACCTAGGCAGACATGGATTAGAAAAGTGTGCCAGTGGACCAACTTAAGACATGTTGAAGTATTACATAACAGAACAGGACAGACCAAGATCTGTGGTAGGCTAAGTTAGTTAAGTTAATCTATTCAATCTATCATTTAGTCTGCCTCAAAATAGTGGTGAAGGAACAGTTGCAAATGTCTTGCACTGTCTGAAATGCTCCTTGAAATTCATAATGTTTCTATTCCTGGCCCTGCTCTGATTGGTCAGTATAATGTTTCTATTCCTGGCCCTGCTCTGATTGGTCAGTGAAGTATGACTGACACTCCTAACAGGTCTATTCTATCCCAGGGAGAGTTTTTGTGTTCCATAGGTGTTTCATCCAGTGACTGGGTTAATAATGTGCAGAGAGATGCCTGAAGGCCTCGGATTTGGGCTTTTTAGGGCTAATACCAATTTTGCCACAATAGGGTACTGCTGATATAAAAAGGGCATCAAGGCCAGTGAATCACAAAATGACACAATTTCTGCTTTCTAGATTCCCGAAAATAACCTCTGAGGCATTTTGGGCGATCATTTTTTTCTTTTTCTTTCTTTCTTTTTCTACTCTCTAAAAGGGGACCGGGGCTGCCCCGCCCTTTACTAAATCCATCCCTGGCCTTCGTTAAATTTGACGCATGTGCCTTGCTGGGTATGATGTGCTATATAAAAACCAAAATGTTATAATGTAGAGTGAAATATTACCTTCTCAAACCTCTGCTCCAGCACTTCATGCTCCCATTGTAAATTTTTGAACTCCTGGTCCATCACTCTCAACCTAGCCTTGGCACTCTACAATAAAAAGATGAACGAATGTTAAATAGAAACCATTATTGAGATTATAAAGATAGCAGAAAATAACTGGTTAAATTTTAGTAGTGAAATTTTTGCTTACTGCAAGTGAAGCTTTGTCTTTTTCGTAATTTGCTAGTTGTCTTTGTAGTTCCGCCACCTCTTCCCGGGCTTTCTCCAGAGGCTCCTTCAACCTCTTATTCTCCAGTTGGATTTCATTCATCTGTTTCTCCATTCTTTCTTCCTTCTTTTTCATTTCTTCCACTTGTTCCTATTGATTGTACAGAAAAATAAAAATATTGCATTAAAATATCGCATTAATAGAAACTTTGATGAAAAAAAAATGTTCTAATTGGCCAAGATAATGTCTCAATTACGGCATCTACAAAAAAAGCGTTATGCAAAACATAGTTTTCAAATTATTGTTTTCACATTAATTACTATCTATATTTCTGAGGTTTTATCTAAGCCCTGTGTGACTTGCCTAAATATGGTCATGATGACATCACATCATGACCATATATAGGCACATCATAATATGGCCATACAACATGTTTTTGATTACAGGTTACCTACCTTAAGAGAGTTAATAAGAGCCAGGTTATTCAGGGTTATATCATTATAATAATTTTTGATGTCACTGAATGCTTTCTCATGGTTCTTCATAAGCGTGTTGATTTGACCGTTTTTTCGTTCCTCAATCTCATGAATTTCGGTTTTCCTCCTCAACTCGAGTTCATCCCTTAACATTCGCATTTTCTTCTCATATTTTGCTTCAATTTCTGTTAACATAAAAATGTATATAATTAGAGAGGATATACAAAGGTAAAATGTAAGAAAGAAAAGAATGAGGATAGAAAAGTATAATATTGTTGGTCAACATTAAAAAAAAAAAAGAAAATTATCATTTGCTAGATTCATTACCATATATATAATTTATTAGATTCATATCTATAATTTTGTTAAAATCATGTCTAATAATGGTTAGATTCATATCTATCATTTTGTTAGAATCATGTCTACGAATGATTATATTCATATCTATTACTGTATATGATTTTAAGGTAATCTTAATAATGTAAAGGCTACTGTACCTCTGGCTTCTCGTTCAAATTCATCCCTTAGGAAGGTGACTTGCTCATCATGTTTCTGTGGGTGGGAAGAAGCAAAAGGTCAACATTACATTTTTCTTGAATATTTCTTCCAGATAAGTGTATCAATCGGTATCCATATCAACATAATACAAAAATTCAATAATAATAATTTAATAAAAATAATTTAAATAACATAACAATATTAATAATAAATAAATGAATAATCAATATATAGTAGTAAGTAGTATTTTGATGATTAAATAAATTTATACCAAATAATTAATCTTCAACAACTTTATACCTTAATTGTATATTGAACTTAAAACTTACGATTTTAAGATTTTTGATGATATCCTCATGTGCTAGTTCCTGGTCTTTGAGGGAGACTTTCAGACCACGTTTGTCTTTGCGTAAGTCTGATTCCTGACCCCGATGGTCATCCTGTGCCAGTTTGATAGCAACTGCACTTTCCGCCTTCAGCTCTGAAATGTTATTTTGGTGCTCGTACAAAAGATGCTTGACTTTCTGTTTATAAACCTAAGAAAATATAACAATATTTCAATAATGTATTTCAATCTGTTTAACTTTACCATTATGTACTTACACAAATAAAAAATTTTAAAAAACTCAAACAGTGGTCTAGCGCATAGAGGCTTTATGCATTATCCAAACTTATGTTGCAAAATAAAAATACCACTTAAATTGCAAAATAAATGTTGTGTTAGTAAGTCTAATATGGCAATATCATACCGTAAAACCTGGAATTAATGGAAGGCAAATTAGCCCAGAGAGAGAGAGAGCGCAAACAGCCTACTGCTGAAGAAAGTCCTTAATATACTGGCATAACTCACATTGGCCATTGACAGTCGGAAAAAAAAAAAAAAAACCACCACCATCGAAAGGGTATTGGGATACCTGCTGCTATGTGGGTATTGGATTCTACTCTAGTCATTAACCGAAAGCTTGTCGGTCTAGAGGTTACAACACCAGGCTAGTTATTCAGGGGTTGTGGCTTCGATTTCCACACGAATCACTTGCAAGAATTTTTTCGCAAGTATTTGGGAATGTATTTAGCATTCAGTACAATAACACATCAGGTAGGGCAAAACATCAGTCCTACCAGAGTCATACTGTCAAACTAATGGGTCTTCTCCACACATTCTCTACTTGCAAAAAAAACCCAAAAAAAATACAGTGCACCCTCCAATTCGAGACCCCTCTAATTCAAGACCACTTTTCCAAAGGCCCAAATAGCAATCTTCAACCTTTTAACACGAAGCTAGCCCTCTAATTGGAGACCAACCCCAAGACCACCCCAAAATTTCAGGGCCCAAAGGTGGTCTTAAATTGGAGGGCGAACTGTACCTTGATTTCAACTTGATGTCGTTCTTCAGCATCCTCCATTTCCCTGTCTTTGTTCCTGAGTTCTGCTTTTGCTTCTTCCTGTTGCCGCTTGGTAATCTCCCAAAACGTATTCACTTTATCTCTTTCCAGTTGGAAGTAGTTTCTTTCCTCCCTCTCTCGGTCCAATTCCTCACGTAAGCGTCCAATATGCTCCTCCAACTGAATGGATATAACATATAACTCATTAATAGTAAACTTATAAGGGAGGAATTCTGAGAACTGCCATATATCGTATAATAGAAGGCATTCCACATCAGGTTTTTACATAATACAACACAGACATACGATGCTAGTTAATGGATGTTTGTGAAGTATGTTAAAACACAAGAGCGAAACTCTCCAGAACAATTTGTATCTAATCCCCAGAAAAGGTATTATGATTCTGTCTTTTAACCCCAGGAAGTGGAATGATATTTATTTTCTTGTTGAAAAAACTGTATGGGCCTAGCTTGAACAAGAACCCTGCTTGGAATGGGAGGACAGCATATGGTTGCAGTTTTGACTTGAATAAAATAAAATGAATTTTAATCAAAGTGTTATGCACTATACATTACTAAATTAGGCACCATTTTCAGAATTATTAATATGATTAAATTTATTATTAAACAATTATTAATTCTCACCTGTTCTTTAGTCATTTCTTCAGTTGAAATACCATCAATTACTGTAGGTGTTTTAGACTTTGCAGACTTCTTCTTCTTACCCTTCTTACTTTTATTTTTAGGTGGCTAATGAAAAAATTCAGAAACAGAAATTCAAAGAGGAAGTGAGCGCAACCATCTCGGAAACCTCCAAGAGCAAGTGTAAGCCTAGCCTAGAGAGGGAGGCTAGCCTCTCTCTCTAAGCACAGATAAGCTTACTAGCATAGATTAGTTACTAACCGTCTTGCATTGTGGGGGACAGTCCAGCATTTTAAAGTGATTTTGGATGAAACATGCATTTTGCAGAAACACATGCGTGATCATAAATTTATCACGCATTCAGCACAAGTCTATGGAGACTATGCGTGATAAAAATTCAGCAGAAAATGTATTTAAGAGTAGAAGAATTTGGTCTCTTAAATAAAGGTCATGCAGTACTAGTAGCTTTAGCCAACAGAGAGCTTTTGTTATCTTGTTCGAGAATCATTCAACAGGGAAATTCGAAATTTCTCCAAAACAACCCAGCCAACCACATACTTTAATAGAATCTAGTCACGTGCGGTCTTGTGCGTTCAATGTCACAACCAACCGTTGATGTGACTGGAACCGGCCCACACCGGGGTTCCGCCCCTGGAAAACCGAAGCTTGGCGCCCCACCCCTTACTTACCTGGTGTAGGACTAGGCTAGTCACGCATTTCAAATCTCTCTCTCAGTGGTAACTATGTAGGCCTAGACTAATTCCAGCCCTACATTTACATTTTTAGCACGTCGTAATCAGGCCCAGTCATGCAAAAGGCATAGCCAAAGCGTTGTACATTAGTGTAACGGGAGTTACTATTTTAATTGTTATTGTTTTGCATTGTGGGTAATAATGACGTAATGTCACATGTTGAGTTACTGCGGGAAGGCGGCAGATGATGATTGATGATGCCTCGCTGCGAGAGGTCCGTCCGAGTTTTTAATGAAGTGATGTTGATACATATTAATGATTTGCTGCCGTAGTATTATTACTATTTGGTGGCATCTCCCGTGT